TATTTTCAGTACAAGAGCTGTTATTGACAGCATCAATCAACGCGTCAAAACTTATATTATTTTGGGCCATATCTATAAAAGATTTATCGATGATACTCAAAAGATAACGAAAATTGTACGTGTTGTTTGCACATTGTCCATTCTTAACTTAATGAAATCGTCTATTCGTAAAAACATCAAGTGATATTGTTTTTCAGTATTTAAACTAAGCTATTGCTGATAAAACTCGTTTCATAATACTTCATTTTATTTCAGATGCTCGAAAGCAGGACTTAGTTATAGAAACAAAGTCTAAACGAAATATCTTGAACTATATGATGTTAAGAAAATATTTGACACACATCGCTCTTGTCACTCTAGGACTCAAAATGTTGGCATTTACTAGCTCGACATATGAAGTACATCTGATAAAAAAATGTCTATATTACTTCGATATGTTATTGAGATTTCAGAGAAAAAAGCAAAATTAGGGTTATCAACGAACACGGGTGGGGGTGGGGGGGGGGGGATGATCTAAAAGATCAAGGCTGAAATCTTTATCTTTATTTCCCAAATAACAACTACATATTGATGAACGAACTAGGAGTAAACTTAAGGACACTTAGAAGAATACCTGATGAGATGAAAAACATCTATACTATATCAAGAGAAGAGAAGAAAAGACATATATCTATATCGGACATGCCATCTATGTACACTAACGGGACAAACGAAAGAAAAGGAAAATACCATACATAATTGATACTATAACAGGGACATCCCTGAGTGGCAACTCTCCTATGTTTTACATTAGTCTGACTTGATAAAATAGAGATAAAGAAGTCTTCTTTGTTAATGGAGAAAGTTAGATATTTTCTTATGCGCATATAATAAAAATAACCCAAATCGATGGTTATGGACTCCATATAGGGCCGTACACATGTCATGTATGCTCTGTATACGGTCGTAAATAATCATGTTTTGATCAAATATGACAAAAACATGATCTTATTTGTTGTCTTCTGTTTCTTACTTGTATAAACAATTATGTAGTGCAATTAGTCTGAAATAAATAATCAGATTAAATAATAAGAAAAACACGTATTGTTGATCGAATCCAATATATAGCACGATATAAAATAACATAAACTAAATAAAATTATTGATTCCATTACATTAGATGATATAATACTAAAAAAGAAATACATTGGATTAAAAATACATACTTGTTATCGAAACAATGGATTGAATGACTTAAAATTAATAAAATAGAGGTGAATGTATGAAAAATATTTGTTGTTTATTGAAGTGATTGGTTGAACTGATCTAAAACAAATAAAATAAAACAAAAATGTTCACTGCTCATTGAACTAATAGATCAAACTGACCAATAATAAGTAGAATACATTAAATAAAATAAAAAAAACACTGACTGTACGTAGAACTAACTAATGAATCAAAAATACTTACTAATTCTTATACGCCTACTTTTCACCTGTACTCTCAACTGTGAATTTTCTGATCCACAATTTCTACTACATGTAGTGGCTCGCCTACTCTATAAGCTATACCTATTCTTTATAGCTGTATCTCATAATCTTCACATTTGTAATATGTGTCGTATTCCGTGTCACAATATCTTATTATAAGTTTCTTCTATATACTTGTATATTTTACCTTCTCTCTTTTACCAATATTATTGCTTCACAATACCTGCATTTGCAGTATAACCCCTATGACATACATGTAACGGATTTCTCAAGCAAAGAAAACGATATTAGCGTTGGGGCAGTATTGTAATTAGCTGCCACATACGAGTTATTGGAGTTCTGCTATATGCGATTATGTTGCTAATAAGAAATATAAGGAAAATAGAAGAACAATGAGATGAAAGTAATTAAATGCAGTTTCCAGAAGTCATATATACGACAAGATAAATGTACTACTATCTCCATCAAGTAATCTAATCATTTTTATCAGCTTTCACTTCAAATTTCAGAAGTTATATATACGATAAGCGAATACGACCATATACGAACTTCGTTTTCTCACTGTTTTGCTCCGTATACTGCTTCCATATATTTCCGCTTTCTACTGTAAACGGTCGTTTACGATCGTATGTATTCGATCTGGGAAGGTTTTATTTATTGTTAAAAGATGAAAGAAAAGAAAATTTTTTTTAAAAACAAGAAAATCTATTATGAAAAAAATACACCAAAGATTTGGAATGATTGGAGAGAAATAATGGCTTATATAATACGAAATCAGTGATTATGGAAATGAACATTTCTTTGTTCATTGTATATTTTCTTAAAAATAAATTTTCTGGTTGTTTTTTGATATTTTGGACAAATACATAAAATCTTGTTTTTATTATCTAAAAATTAAGAAAGATTTCACATTGTTCTCTATCGACAAAGACTTTTTAAGCTGTATTATTTTTTTTTTTAAAAGTATAAAGATAATGTGATGGTTATAGTTTTTATATTTATTGTTTTCTTACATTTTTCATTATGTACGTTTTTATTTGTTGTTACTTTACGTAATATCTAAATAAAATGGATATAATATGACAATGGTAAACAGAATATTAGTTGATGCTTATTTTACATAAATTACTGGAGTACACAAAAACTAAATAAAAGTATTCAAAAAAATATTCAACTATGTGCGATGAACAGCCAATTGCTTTATTCAGATGTTAGCATGAGTACTATTGATGAATACTCATGAATTCTTGCAGCATCTTCTACCTTGAGTGCTCGCTTAATAAGTACCTTCACTATGAATATCGCTGATTTTCGAAAAATCACTCCTTGTGTCATAGTCATGATAAAATCTGACTTAAACACTGATTTCTTCTTTTTTTACCAAATACGATTGATCACGACTTTAAGACAATTTTCTGTGAAAAACGCCGTAATCACAACGATTTTCGAGACATGAACTATCATTGTAGATAGCGTGTGTGTAAGAAGTCTCTTCGGCAATATGTCTATGTGATGATGTTCGACTATTTTTAGGTTGTAGGAGACAATCACAAGTAGTCAGCTAAAATGAGAATTTCGTGCTCTTCCTAAATATATATATCCAGAGCTTTTTTTTCTGATCTAAGTTAATTTAATCAGAGCAAATGTAAATAAAAAATGCCGTTTGTGCCACTCAAAATAGGCTTTTTTTCTGTAATGCTCAATTTATCTAAAGGATATTTTGGGAGTGGTTTTTCTTTTTATTGCTGTAGAGAATTTTATGTGCTATAAAATCATGGGTTGCAGCAATTTAGAACTCAAAAGAATGAAAATCTACAAACAAGTTTCGAAATGTCATACTTTAGATGATAATGAGTTTTTCAAAAACGTCTTTTTTTTTCGAATTTCGATATTTTAAACGCAACAGAATCTGATAGTCTGCAATTATATATAGAAAGTAAAGCAAATTGGTCATTTTGTAGAACAAGCTTCATTCTACCAATTTGTATAAAGGACGACTTTATAATTTGAATTGAAGCAATTTGTATCAAAATACAAAAATGGGCTACATACGAAGTTCTGTACAAACGACCATTTTGGTTGTCATCAAATATTTATTCTTATTGAATCAAATGAAGTCAAAAACAAAAATCTGAATATATGTTAGGAAAGATCATGAAATTTTCATTCTAGCTGACTACTTTTCGCTCTCTCCTGCAGCCTATAAGCAGTTGAAAATCGAACAGATATGTTATGCAAGGACTTTTTACACGCAGGTTATGTGATAGACAAGCAGAGAATGTATCATATATATGTTGTATTTTCTAACTCTCATTCCATGTTTCTTTGAATTCGAATAAATCATTGTATATATTGTTTGAAGTTTGCTTTTTCAATTCTACGTTGTTCCGAAGTAATTATCAAACGATATGTTAGTGCAATTCCTATTGATTAATTTAATTGTACAATTGTTTCAGAGATTACTTTGTGGATATTTTATTTGTAAATTATTTCAACAGCATTCAGATCAACATTTATTCATTTTTACATGATCTTTCAAGATTCGTTCTGGCTTGTTTTTGTTTTCATATAGGCCATTTTGTTCATATCTCAAAGCATATAATGTAAGTACTCATAAAATAGATGCTTTTCTCGTCTCGCACATTATTGAAATCTTCGAGAAAACTCAGGATGTTATTAGAATAAAAAACATAGTTGTGGATTCAGATCTATTCCCAACATTGAGAAATGGTCAACGATTATGAGCTCAGCTTTATCTTAATCGAAAAATTGACTCTAACTTTTTATGAGTTTTCTAATATATGATGCTTGTTTAGAGGTTATAGTAAACTTATTTTGGTTAATCAAAGTACTGATAATTCGTTAAAACTTTATAAAATGCTATACTCTGTGGAAGTGAATAATGATTGTATTGGATTCGTTGATTTTATTGAGAAGAGTTTACTTCATAAAGAATTAAATCGTTTAATCGGCATATTATAATTAATTATGGATTTGGAAATGAATTTTCATTTTATTAATCTTATCATTTTCTTTATTCTTGATACTAGTCGACTTTTCAGTAAAAATGAATCGAGATTAGAGTTGATACTTTCTTTTCTTTTTACAGTCAATAAACATAGTTACAAAATTAGATTCAATTTATCTTCCAATAAATATTTAGTTGTATTACTTATCTAAAAAATAAATACATAGTAGTAATTTAATTCATAAAAAGTGTGAAAACGAAATTTCTAATCTCGATATAAAACGATTATATTTAACAATCAAAAGCATGATTTATTTTTAAGATTCTTTTTACTAATTAATATATTCTCTCTCGTAGAGCATAACTAGTAACACAACATATAAACAAAATATGATGAAATGATATTATGTAACATATTATATATGTATAGTCAAATGTCGCTGAAAATGCAAATACTTAAGGATTTCATCATCAATCCCTTTTCTGTTTCGTCTAACGTCTATTGTGGCTCCAAATAATGGTGTGCAATATATTCATCATGGTAAATGTTTGTTCTGGTAGTGTTAAGATTTGATGGTTTTATCAGCTAGAACACATTGTTGTTGCATACATACAAGCTTTACTTTAGTCCGCTTTCGAATACGCACAAGTATTTCTTTGACTTGAGGAGTGACATAGACGAGCATCAAACTAAGAGCGATCATAGCAGTGACTATAATCATATTCTGAATACGATAAAATAATGGTTTTCCTACATTAGTAAAAGGTAACATTAACTTCAACACAACAGAAGGAGCACCGATCAGCATTAATAAACCTACAACTAGTACAATACGACGTACTACGACCAAATCACGTTTAGCATGTACTGAAGTAGCTATAGATGGTCGCTGCATAAATCGTGTCAGCTTTATATAAATAATACTGATTATAATCATTGGTAGAACATAAATAACAATAGTAGACCAAACAAATCCAGGCCGACTATGAATAGCTAGGAAACAGGTATTTTCCATCGGTATAAATTGTATGTCATGCCAAAAATGGATTGGTAGAATAAAAAGAAACGAAATGAGCCACAAAATTGGAATAATTACAGTGTAAGTAAGAGCACGTTGTAACCATATATAAGAAGGATAGATGACACGAAAGAAACGAAAGACAGCCTAGAAATGAACATATGTATTTTAAATTCACAAATCCTATTATATTCAATTATAGAATATGAATTACTACAAGTAGTCCAAAAAGTATCATGAGTAATCTATCGAACTTTCTAAAATGGCATAGTACTTGTCTTCTTCTAATTTTTAATTAAAAGTAATTGAGTTTTGTATTGTCATGAAAGAAAATTTTTTAACAAGAAATATGAAACATTATTATAACAGAGAATGACTCATTACTTATACTTCTCAGATTTGTGCAATGACTGTGTCTGTGCATAATTGTACTCGTTTACGACGGTAAGTAATTGTCAAAAATCTATTGATTATTCAGCATTCTTCTCAATACACATTAACTAGTAGATTCTGTATTTTACAGTATTCTTTACTATGTTTTTAAGCGAGGCCAATAAAAATGCTGCTATACAACAGAAAAGATAAAAGAAAAAATGTCCAAATCAGAAAATGTGTCTAGAAAACACTGACTTTACACGTATATTCTTATTATGATGTCGGTTTGTATCTGTAGCTTTCAGTAATCGTGATTAATAATATCGAATGGAGATAGACTAAAATAGTCGAAAAAAAAACTACTATACAATTAACGAGGAAACATACCCAAATGCCAATTACAGATTCGAACGAGAATTATCTCAGTCGATAGAATTCGACGAGCTAGTGACAATGATGACAGACGTTTTCTCTATACAACTTTCTTATGGAATTGTCAGATACAATTAACTCTATGGAATGTCACCTATAGATATCAAACTCAAATATTGATGTGTACGTACTGCATGTATTTCTTTGTTAAATAATTTACTAAACTGTCTATTTTATTCTACGTCGAGTGATTGTTATTTAGGTCGCATGGAGCGCTATAACTGTCACGCGCATATCTTCCTCTTCATGAATTATTTGACTACTAAACGTTTGTCAAATGAAAGCGATAGTGCTCTAAAACTCGTAAACAATACCGATTTTGACTTTACGCTCCGAGAACATGGCAATGACTTGATTTTCGAACAAACTTCTTTTACATTGAACTATATGAAAAAGTCGTAGATTTCTATCGTCCGAGTATTGCTTTCACAATTGTACAACATGCACTTCCATATGTCAAGTATTCGATGCAACTAGTACGATTTCGGGAAAATGTTGAGAATGATAGGAATCGTCAACAGAAACTCTCACGCATTACACTGTTCGTCGTTGAAAAATTTAAATAAGTGCGAAGTGAAAGTTTGTCCGTTCATAATACTAACATTCAACAATGGACAGTAGCTCAAGCGAAAGTCAAGAATGCCGATAATTTCATTGCTGATAGTACGTGGCTGCTGAATTTCAAACGATGAAATTATGTTCGCTTAAGAAAAGTCACAAAATTCGTGTCACGATAAGAAGCTTTTGACAAGGAAGAAATTGTTTAAGCTGACGAAGTGATCGTTAATGAAGTGAAAATGATTTTCATCAAGTATAAACTTGAATGTGTTCTAAATGCTCTTCGATTAAGTTTTCACTGCGAACTTTTGTCTTTTACAAATGAAGGTCGACGTTCATCGCTGTCAAATCGCTCAATGACACCACATAACCATCTAACATAATATCCCTCATGAAATGCTACCAGTAACATTGTTAGTCTCATCTTACAATACTCACAGAAACGTACAGATCGATTTCCTGTAACATAAGACACCTTTTCTGCTTTAAATATTGTGGTGATCTGTACTTAATTTGGCAAATTAAGTAAGTGATTGATTGAATATCGAATACGAAAAGTTTTGAACGATGTTATCAGCAGTCGGTTTCTGCTCTTATTCGATCGATCGTAGTGTAAACGGATACTTTTACATACGAAGAAAATCTAACGAAAGGATAATCCTGCAGATTGATGATGATCTCTGGAAAAATTACTTCGGTAAAACAATCTTGTGATCAGTATATATCTTTCGTCGATGGAAAATCTTGGCACGAGAATTGATCATCGTATATCAAAAGATAATCTCAATATTAACTTAAGAATTCGAGATGCAATAATCACGCTGCCATCATTAGTTCACAATCGACTTAGCATTGATATTTTCGTGCTAATTATTTCATACTCTTGGTCAACCTGTGGCTATATTTAGGCAAAATATCAATCGTTTCAGAATGTGATCGAGGTTTACCTTACTCTCAAGATAGATGAATGTACAACTGTTATGGTTACCCATTTATTTGTTGTAGTCATAATCAGCATATTCTTCGTTTCGAACATCTTATCAACAACTATCATTTTCATAATTGAAAAGATTTCTATCTTCTGAACTTTTACAAAGAAAATGTACTTGGTCTTTCAAAAGGATAATATTCTATAGGGTTAATTCGATCTGAAAACTCTATAAAAAAAGAGTAGTACGGGGGAAAACGTCTATCATCATTTTGACCAGCTCATCAAGCTCTATCGATTGGGATAATTCTCTTTCGGATCTATGATTAGCACTTGGGAACGTTGCCTCGTAAGAGTCGATCATCATGACTGCAGTTGCTTCATGTTCAACGGATGTAAGTCAGCCGTTATCCCTAGTTATCACATTTATTGATTCACAAAAACGAAGATCTTAGCTCTTATAAGATAATTACATTTCTCAATTGAAGAAAAACACAACGACTCTTAATGAATGTTTAGCAAAACTTCCTACAAATTTGAAACCATGTGAGTTTTGTGAAAAAGGTTTTCTCGTGACTTGTGTACAATCTGTTAGAATGTTAATATTATCTCGTACAATAAACAATGTGTTTTGGTAGTCCGGATTTTGTAAAGCACTTTTCGGTCATTTTCCACCTTGATATTTTTATTTTTTATTTTTTTAGAATCAACCATAGTGCTCCTTTACATTCTCATCATATACAATAGTAAGAAATAAGGGAGTAGTAATAAGAGACAAACGCAATAGACAGGTATTATGCACAGAATAGAATGGCTAAGGAGATTATAATATTCATCATCAGAAATTCTTCATCATACAAGATATATATAAAACATTGCAAATTGAGAAAGGAAATCCATTAAACATATGCGTATATGTGTGTTAAAAAGAAACTAGCTTTTCAAAAAGAATTTATCTGCAGTAAAAGGAAATTCGCTGTATCAAAACACATGGAAAATATATAATACGATTTGAAATTTAACCTCATTCTAAAAACAAATAAAGAATTCTCTGCTTGATAAACTATTAAAGACAATTAAACTTTATTGAAAATCTTACCTGTAACGTAAAGCTATTAAAAATGACAGCCATGAATGAATAAACTGTATATCCTTTAATACGACAACTAAATGTTTCCGTACCAATGTCCAAATTATAATCACCTCGAACCATATCAACATTGCTTGATGCGGCTACAATTGCAAAGGCGAATAATGCTAAATAATTATTAGCAACCAAAATCAAAATTACATCATGATGGCGTACAATAGATGATAAGAGCACACTAATCATGAATATGCATATGAGACCCATAAATATACTTCCAATGAGTGAAATAAAATTAAGAGTTATAGCTGCTGTTGATATCATTGTTATATTGAACATGTTTTTTCCGGAACTATAACCAATAGATATGATCACTATAGATTTTATCTATTGACAAAAATAAAATGAAATGTCATTGGTCGAACGTTGTCAAAATGGATTCGCGTTTTAAAAGAATAATAATGATAACTTCACACTGCGCATTCATAGGAAAACTATTCGAGCTACACTTACATTAATGTTGACTATAGATGCAAATTAATTTTCCCACCTTATTTTAAATATTTAACGTGATAACATATTCTGAAAGAAGAGGAAAATTCTATGCTTGAAAAGAAAAAAGTACATTTATTTTTTAGTCTAGATATTCAGATGGCAGGTGAAGTCTATTAATAAAAGAGAACTAAATGAAATTATAGAATAGTTTTATGATCATCATCAGTAGATATGTTCTTTCAATATGAAGTGTGAAAAGGTTCAGTAAAATTTTATTTAATACTAGACATCTAGCACTGCATATATAAATCTTGACAAGATAAAATTAATAATAAAATATTAATTGATTAATTCTAAGAAGAAGTTTCAATATTGACAGCAACATTTTAAAAGCTATCGTTTGAAAATCAAACGAATAAGAAAATTTTAAAATCATTAACAAATTATACTTGAACACATTTAAATTATTATTGTCTTGCTTTACATTACTAACCGTTTATTCAAGTTGAAATTAAAAAAACAATATCATCAAATCTTAAAGCATGACAACGTTACTCTGTCTCCTCTTTAAGAACTTAATTTACACAATCAATCTCTAATACTCTGTATGAGTAATTAGGCTTAAAAGCGAATAAAGCTAATCTTCGTTTGACGTATAAGTAGTCGGATTGATTCAAAATGTTTTTAAAGCTTAAACACTCCATACTTCCGACTAATAATGACGTAGTCAATTATCATAAAAACATGACTTTCTAATTTTTATGGGTATCTTATGAGAAACAATGTAAAAGAAGTGAAGTATAGCAGTAAAAATTAAGACCACTTAACTTCTCTTCCCCCATAAACTGTGAAAGAAGTAATTCAGAGATCGTGACAGTCATTGATATATGGTCACAGGTCGTATTTCAATAAAGTTTCACTATAATATATGAACTACTTTCTTATTCCATTTTTGGAGGATTAAGTAAAACCATGCTGAAGAAATATATCCCAAAAAAGATAGAATGAAACACTATTTTCATGATTAGAGAGACTGGCTACATCGTGTTTCACATTTCAAACTCGTAAGAATTGCACTGACATATTTTCTTATGTCATATGCTATCTTTTCATGCCTACGTTTGTGTTGATCTGTTGCAAGCAAACAGCTTTGAATATGTTATTATGAGAAATTTTTTTAAGCGCTACCATTGGGTCTCTTCTTTGGTTAACTATTGAGTATACACAACAGCATGGTCGAATGCATTATGTCTCAAGTGATACCAAAATACTGCCAAACGGAAAATTAAAAAAAATCGAATCCTTCTTTTTGAAACACAATGGACATTAGATTACAACAAATCCAGTTCAAAGCTTAACAAATATCAATATAATTATCAATTTTATTAACATCTCGCTTCCTATATCACTAAGTTCACATGTATTAATTACTTAAAACTATACTAAATTTAATAACAATGAAATATTTAGTGCCAGGGCAAAGTATCGTAGTTTGGATTATATTAATATATATGTGAAGTAATATTAGTGCCCGATATTCTTGCATTGTAGAGTTATTACTGAATCGATATTATTACATTAAAAAAAATCAAATAGAAACTATGCACACAGATTTTCAACTCGATCAGAAAAATTTCTGCTCTCATGTTCAAGCGCATGCTACACTTAATATAAAGAGGCATTGGGTTCATCATAAATGATATTGTCAAGGGGAGAAAAGCGGATCCCGGGATCTATTGAGATCCGTGGGGATCCAGTGGGATTCGTCGGGATCCATCAGGATCCACTGACATTTATTAACATAAACTGCATTCTGAAGAATTTGCAAGAGAAAAAGTACCTTAAGGAGTGTCATATTATAAAAATTTATAAATGAAAACATGAGGTAGAAGAGCTGCAATGATCATTATGTCCGGTGTTCATAAGTCTTACTTATATATGTGATATTTTCTAGTCTTCGATTACTAAGAAAAGATATTACCACCTCTCAGCTGATGGGAAAAAACCATCAATGCATTCAGTTATACATGCTGTTTTATGACTATCCATAGCAGCGGTTTAAGTCAGGTCTTGATGCATGGGTGGGAACGTAATATCATCGTCATGGTCACTTGTACCATGTGCTATAAACAGACAGACCGACAGGCGAATTTCGATTTCTAGACTNAGATAAATTTTGAAATTTTAATGTTAATAATTCCGTATTATTTTGAATTTCAATTGAAGCTAACAGTAACATATTCACAATTTCAATTGTTTGTAATATTGAGTTGGATTTTATTTTCAAAGTAGATAATGCATCAAGATTTTCTAATTCTACATTCTTAATACCCGTGTTAGTTATTTCGAATTGTACTAATGATTGAAAATTTTTTATCGTTGACGGAATAGTTGATAAATTTGGTAAATCAATTAAATTTAAAATTCTAAGATTAACTAATTTGCCAATACTTTCATCAGGTATTTTATTAAAATTTGGAATATTCTGTAATATTAATGTTTGCAATTGAATTAAATTTTCAATTTCATCAGGTAAATCTTCAAGATTTTTAATATCAGATAATTCTAAGTTTGATAAAGATATTAATTGTCCCAATTCTGATGGTAAATGTTGACCAATAATACCATAATCTGATCGAATTATTAATGATGTTAACTTTTGAAAATTTTTAATGTCAGATAATATTGTTAGATTTGTATTTACTAATTGAAGGTTTTGTAAATTTTTCAAACAATATATACTTGAAGATGGATTAACATTCTTATATATATTAAAAGCTGTAACTTGTGATTTACCATCGTAGCTAACGGATGTAGATGAAGGATAAAGATTAAGTGAAACATAAAATGGATTTAGATTGATAATTTTAAGATCATTGGTATATATGGTACAATCGATCACTGCATTGCTAACTAAACTCAAAATAGATGAAAGTCGAAATCTTCTTTCATTGGAAAATAGTTTTTTACCTTGAATATTGATGGCTAAGAAATAAAGAACGAATAATGATGGAAATATTTTCATTTTTTTCAATTATTTTTTAGTTTTAATCTCACTCGAGGTTTTTTTTATAGTAATCAAATGTCAGTTGTTGATTTTCTCGTTGATTATTTGACTAATGATTTGTTGATCAAGCTTAGCAAAGCTGATTAAAATCTCAGAAGCAAAAAAGAAATAAAAGCCATTGTTATTTTACAATTACAACGCTAAATAACATGTATTTGATAAAGGTAGAAAATGAATGCATTATCTCTATAGGCATATAAACCATGGTAAAGTTACAAGATTAAGACTATAGGAGTATTCTACCTTTTCCGTAAAGAAGCTTAAGAACTATCGTAAAAGGGTGGAGTGTGGGTGTGGGTGTACAGTTTACCCACACCCATACCCTTATCAGTGACGATATAAACGTTCCCATTTAAATAAAGATCAAATTCTTTCAATACCTTATCGGCAAATGAACGTATATTAATTGAATGTTCGGTTAATAATCATATGATGTGAGTGTGAATGAATGTGGTTGCTTACTTCGCACATTTACACCCACACTCCTTCAGAATTGGAATTTTTCTCCATCATGTAAAATGAAATGTCACTGATATCAACGATTTGTCTTTTCTTGGAAAACATGATTTGTAAGCATTTATTCTATTACCAAAGCCATGAAACTGCAATGAGTGTATAATTATATTGCTTATCACCGAAAAGTGATATAAACAATAAAAAAACTGAAATCAATTTTCTTCTCTGTGTATAATCGCTTCAGTTGCTCTTGTTGTTGCGTTCTGCTAGTGCAGAGAGAAGAAAACATCCAGTTCATTCTCTCTCTCTCTCTCCCTCTGAGGGTTATCCAATGGTATCCTTGACGCACTTTAATACAATAGTAACGTTTATAATCAAATTAAAGTTTTATACGCTTTAAATGTCTTGATTTATGTGAAATGTAACTTTCACAACATGTATTCAACATCGGCTACGGAATTTTTTTGTGAAACTTTCATCAGTAATCAGGAATTTTTTATCAAGTATAAAAATTACGGATAACATCATAATTTATCAAGATTGTTTATTGGTGAAAATCATTTTTCGTTACGATAGTTGCGATTCAAAGCAGTTGCTTTTGTTCCGGAAATTATCAAAATCGCTACGATTTTCATGACATAGGTAAAGTCTTATATTAATGCAAGCAGAGAAACATTCCCAAGGTACTCTCAGAACATCAATCCTACAGCACAATTATCAGCTATATGTTAAAAAAAAATAATTAATGCATTTCTAGTATAAATCAGACAACAAAAGAGGCTATTGCAGAGCTCGTCGTGAGATTGATTATTCCGAACAGGTACGAATTTTTCTATGAATCTGAACGCGCATGAATGTTTTTTTAACATATAGCTGATAATTGTGCTGTAGGATTGATGTTCTGAGAGTACCTTGGGAATGTTTCTCTGCTTGCATTAATATAAGACTTTACCTATGTCATGAAAATCGTAGCGATTTTGATAATTTCNACCTGTTTATTTTACTAAATATGATTCTAGTCCTATTCAATATTTTATAATAAATGGTGATTTTCCATTTAATTCATTAAATAATTTATTATCTTGTCTTCCTCAACTTCATTATTTATCAATTGATTCTCTAGTTAATTGTCATGATACAGAAAGAGAAGAATTATCTCCTATTGAATTAAAATATTTCAAACATGTTTCCCTTAAATTGAATTATATTGATTTCGATCGATTGAAAAAAATAATAAAAAATTTTTTTCATCACGTTCAAATTTTACGTCTTACAACATGTTCTGATGAAGAATATTTAAATGCTAAACAATGGGAAGATTTAATATTATCTTCTATGCCATATTTACGTATTTTTGATATAAATCATAAAGGTTCTATACAAAATAATAATTTAACATATCATGACGTAATTAATCGATTTAATTTACCATTTTGGCTTGAAAAAGAATGGTATTTTGCACATCAACATGATTGGCCACACAGCTTAAATAGTGGCATTTTTTACTCAACAAATCCATATCGGTAAACAAAAATTTATCTTTATTTTTTATTTTTTATTTTTTTGTTCTGTTTTAGAAGAAAAGATTATACAATTTTTTCGAAATCAGATCAACAAATTTGTTCATGTACTGAAGAAATGAATTTAAATTCAGTTAAACATGTTTGCATTCGTGGAGAAAAATATATAACAAATAATCGCGAAAATTATTTTCCAAACGTTACTCAATTGACTATTAAATGCTATATTAAAACATTCGATGAATCATTTAAAATGACTTTGAATCATATGATTCCGTTAACACAGCTTACTACATTAGTTATTGAATTATATAGTTCTTTTGAAGATATTGTCAAATTACTAAGTTTTACACCTTACTTATATACATTAAAATTGCGTTCATTATCTCTGAATGAAATTAATTTAAATTTAATTACACAAAGTGAAATTTTTCAATATGTATCAAATACAAATAAAATAAAAAATCTCGATGTTGATGATTGTCACTCATTGGATAACGTTCAATTGATTGTTAATTTATTACCACAATTAGAATATCTTAAAACTAGAGTGAATAGAAAAGAAATTAAAGAACTAATTCGATTTTTATTATCAAAATCTAATATGAAGACACGACATCTATTCTTATTATGTATTTCAGATGTACCGATGTCATATCCAAAAGAATTAAAAACTTTAATTAAATTAGAAAATTTACTTCATGATTATTGTATGAAATATCTTAATCGTGACTTATATATATGGTGGTAAAAATTTAGTTGTTTAGGACATGTTTTTGTTGGTGTATATAATTAGTGATTATTTTTGAATAAACAGGAGATTTAACTTTGAATATATTTTTATTATTTTATTTTGATTTGATTTGACCATAAAGTGAAATATACATGAAAGGTATTCCTCTAACAAATATATAAATTGCGATACTCGACAAAAATTTTGTTTATATGCAAACGATGAATGATTAGTGATAAAAACATAAGAAACTAAATTATTTAAAATGAAGAAAAATGCAAAACACAAGATGTTTATGTTTTCATTCTTTTTAAATAGTTTACTTGGTATATAAATTAAATAATAATGCGAATAATTACTGATTATCAGGATTGCCGAATTAATCGAAATAACTACGCATGACTTTGTATAAGGGTGTGGGTGTTGATAAACAGCGAACACACATCCACACCCATCTTTGATATTTGTAAAAGATAAAAATGTCGCAAAATGGTTATTTACACCCTGTAGATCAATGAACAAAATCTACTGGTGTGCTTTTCAATGTAACGATAAACACAAAGGCGAATCGATCGATGATTAATTTCAAATAGATTGTATACTCAAATTGGTTTTCATTTTTGTATGAAACATAACAATGTTAGGTTACAATGCTTATTATTTTCCGAATTCAATAGTCAGTTAAAGTTCGTAGAATTATCTTTGTGAGAGGTATAAATTATGGTTTGACATTAAAGAAAACATATTTTTCATGTTTTGATATAGAAAAAAATCTAAAGCAAGAAAAAGAACAAAACCTCAATCTTTAGTATATTGTACTATTATAAAAGAAACTTTCCATTCATTCACTTAAATCAACATTTGATTGAGTGCAACCAAAGCTATTGATCGATTTATGAAATTAATTTGAATCTCAGAATAATAATAAAAAACAGTTCGCTTACATACTATGTTCTTTTATCGTGAATTTGCATTAGTTATAAATTTTCTGCAGTAGATATATATTATGTTGTTTAATGATAGATATCTTTCAAAAGTACTTTACAGTTTCAATTTATTTATATATTTTATTGAATATTCTATCTCGAAAATGATTGAAGTATTTTCATAAAAAATGAAGAATGCTATTATGTTATTACTACTCCAGGTATTTTCTGCATTGAATATGCAGTAAGATATATAATGAATATTTTGTTTAGCTTAATTCCTTTTTCTTTTAAGAATTGTAAAGTCAATAATTAAGTCAAAATACTCTTATGAGAAACCATATGCTAAATGATATCTCATTTTTCCCTCTCGAAAGTTTTCTTACGGATAAAAAATTGACTTTTTTTTACCTTCACGATAAACCGTAAAAGAAAATTAAACTTAAACTTTCTTTATATCATTCATAGCATTGATTTATTCGTAAAGGCTTATATTAAATTTATCAAAAAACAAAGCATCATAAAAAATTTATCTTGATTGAAACAATAATCGGGAAGTGTACAAGTACAACACTAAATAACAATAATTACTAAGATTATTAATATACAATTAAGCATGTATTTGTGATAGGTCAAGGTTTCAGTTAATCAAAAAAAGAGCTATGAAAAATGATTTGAAAAAATAATGTGTAGGTAATATTTCTACATTTTTTGTTTTATTTAGTATCTTGTTTATCGTCATTATGCCACTTTTGACATGGTGCTCTCGATTGAGTACATCTTTTAGCTCTCATAATGTAAATCGAATTAACGTATGGTAATAAGAGCATGAAAAACTATGCCTAGTGAAAATGTTCAAGATGAACTACAAGTTGAATCAAGTCGATCAAAAGATCAGAAGTTTCTTAATTTCTCAAAAACAAAAAAAATAAATAATAACCATTCAATTATTTGAAATGATAAACGTTGTGTGTCGAAATTAATACATGGGTATAGTGCTGGAAATTATAAATTATTTTATTGTTAAGATTTACTGTTAATTTTTCTTTAGTATTCGATGGCGATCGTTACTTCATGTGTAACTAACTATCATATACATATCTTAGTTGAGTTGCACTGTTATAAGAAGAAATTCTTGCTCATTCTTTTCCATGACAATTTTAAATTGTCGTTTGTATCATGTACTCAGTTGAAGAATCAAAGAAAAGTTGCATAGCTTGTCGAACATGTTTTTAGGATGTGAATTTTCTCAAAATCAAATTTTGAACAGAAGAAGTCGTGTTTCAGCTGGTTTCTCCGACATGGTAAGAGGGATCGAGCTGAAACGTTTTTCGTATATAGTATTCACTATTTTTGGTGGGTAATCTTTTCATTTTAAAAAATTTCGCTCTCGTGATTTTTGGCAACTTTCATAAATATGATCCTAAAGAAATAGAGTGTGGATGGATGCGAGTCATGAAGGACTGCACGCACACACATGTCAGAACTTTCAAAGCTTTAATATTCAAAACAGCAAGGCATGACTTCTTTTCATAAAAAGAACATTAAACAACTTCGGTTTAAATGTTGATCGAAAGCAATTAACTGATTATTAAAAAAATTGATTCTGATTTAAGAAAATTTATGTATATCGATGTAGTGGTTGTTGGCAATCATCAACTCACTAAAATAAAAACCAAATATACAAAGTTAGAAATTGTAGTTGTAGACAACAATTAATATCATCATGGATTTTCCTTATGAGTGCTCTTGAATAGCTAAAACAAGATTCACAGTGGTTTAAACAAAATTAGATTTCTCAAAAAATCTATACTTAAATTCATTCGGAACTTAATAACTTAACTACATTACATTAATTGACTTTTATTCTCTATAGTTTGTTATATTGCTCAAGACATGTTCTACCTATCTTTAAGGAAACTCCACCAGTGGAATCATCAACATTTCTTGAATTTTCATTTTCATCCGTTAACACTTTCAGTTAATAATACTTTATAGATTGATAGGTCCATCTCACCATTTTTAGTCTGAAATATGCAACTCACATATGTTCCTTTGTCTAAATATAGTAACACAGAGTATGTACAGAGAACAATCTCTCGCAGACTATAACTGTTTTTCAAGATAATCGATCGCCAGGGAAGCGATCTTTTTTTTTAATTTCGGCATTTCGACCAGAATTCTTTTACTAACGCTTTCTGCTTTGTTTGCTTTGATCTATAGCAGATCTCAAGACACTATTATGTGTTTCGATAAGCTCATAAGCACTGATCTTGATTATTTTCCGAAATTATAACGTGATTAATTCACAGTTTTAGCTCGACAATAGTCTGAAGTGTATTATTTAAAATACTCTAAAATAATCCAAATCTTGCCGTTGATATCATTCAGTACCTTTTCTCTGGTGAAAGAACTACGGGAATGAAGTCTAACGTTTGTTATCCTTGGCTACTATGGTCTGTTGTACTGGGGGGAGGGTATCACTAAATTGCTACTCTTTATTATGTTCGAAAATATATATGAGCTTTAGAAAAAAGACGTACAAGGTCATAGAAGGGTGTGGGTGTGGGTGTGAGTTAAAAGAAGGACTACACTCACACCCACACCCTCAGTAATAAAGCACCAAAATTAGATCAAATCTTTGTGTCAATTGTAAGTTAGAAACATGTTTAGTCGCTCTATACTTGATTTTTGCAGTATCATATTTGTTAAATCTCAGAAAAACACTTCCGACTTCCGAGATTTGGTAAATACTGTAATACAATATGAAGTTGTGTGACTAAAATTGTTTATAATTTATAATTGACACAATTATTTGGTTGGATTCGGAAGTCTTCTTACCGAAAGTGTACAATCTTAAGGTAGATAAGCAGGATTTGATGCACCGCTAAAATAAACGATAAACATCATGGGTAGGAGGTGTAGAAAGGATGTTGAGAGGGTTATGATGAAGAATCATCTCTTGACTGTGTTTACCGCCGGTTAACTGCTGTGGATTGCGTGTGCCGGTATTGATGGCACGCTCCAATGGCTTTCCTTCCTTCTCTCTCTCTTTCTCTCTCCTATATATACGTGTGTTGTATGTGAAATAGATACATTCTGGACATGTAGAGTAGCTGAATAAACATCTATACCGAGGGTGGCGGTAAGCTACTCCAGCCAGTTTATTGTTACACCGCGGTTAACCGGAAATTTTTCGGTTAACCGCGGTTCACCGAATGGTTAACCGACGGTTTTTAATCGATTCGAGCGACATGGGTAGCTAGCTAATGTTGTTATTTTTAGCAAGACGGTTTACGAGATTTAGCAATATATTTGGAAGCAGAAAATGAACGTATTAATAATTTTATTGCAACATCATAAGCAGTAGCTGGCGGTGCAACAAATATTGCTGATGATTATCGTCAAAAAAACAGTTTTTAGAAATGGAAGAAAATATTGTTTACTCTTTGATGGATTATTTACAAAAGACTGTTTTTCTTGAGACTGAAAACAACGTTTTACTTCAACGATCATCACGTACAGCAGGTGCATATGATGTATCAGATCAAACAACAATCACAAGAAGAATGATCAAGAAAAAACATTTTCTCTTTTCGTGTTCATACATTCTTTTTTTCTTTGTGCCATGATGCTTTGTTACTGAATGATCAGTCTTTTTCTTGAAATAGTTGCAAAAAATAAAAGTGTTAACATTCTATATCATCATTATTTATTAAAACTATTTTAGTTTGATCAATCATCAAGATTTCTGATCCAACAATATTAATCACCGCTTGTATTTCTAAAAGAACCTGAAAGAGAATTAACTGTGATCAATGAAGAGTGTGATTTTTGTATCGCAGAAAAGAATGCCTATCATTTGCCCCAAATTGGTTACCAAAAATCAATCCCGAAAAAAAATCCCCATTGGGGAATTTTGATTTAGGGATTTTTTAATTTGGGGATTGTTTGACATGAAATATATCATACATCCTATAGTGGGTGTGGGTGTGGGTGTGGGTGTGAGTTAAAAGAAGGAGTACACTCACATCCGCCCACCCTTTTCAATTAGTAGACAAAATACCTTCATAAATTGATTTCACTTTACAATGCAATGTCTTAACGCAACTGTAAGTATGTTCAAAAGTCTAAAGTACGTCTTGGACAACATTCATTTATCTACTTTAATTAGATTTTAGCGTAAGAAAATTATTTCTATTTAGAATATTCACATTTTAAACTTTTTGAGATCATATAGGAAAGAGATTTGGAGTCAAAACTAATAATAACAAGATAGAATTGTTCTAGTTCTCTCGATAAGAATCCGAGCAAAATGAAAACAACTATCCTTGGAATATAACTAGCAATGACGTTTGAAATGGACTTTCTCCAGAAAATCAAAGTAATTCCACAATGTTCTTATTTTAAGGATAAGTTCAACAATCTATACTTAGAATATCTAGCACAAGTGAATATCTTTTCGAAAAACAATCATTTGCACACGCAATGTATTTCTATAGACATCAGGCGTTGGTACATCATTCGAGCTATTGTCTGACTTGCTTCTTTTTATCGTAAAATTTAACTGTTTGGTTAAACATTTGAGAAGTTCTTCAGTAACTAATCAATATTCTGAAAGTTGAAAGTCATTTCTTTCATTGGTCCAAAAAATATCTCGGCTGAACAACAAAAAAGAGTGTGAGTATGGGTGTGACTGAAAAAATTGCATACAACCTTATATTCGCATACAACGTGTCAAAAATACCTGCATTAGTATTTAAGGGTTCCCAAATCTAGCTGATAGAACTGAAATAACAAACACAACTAATACCAATGATCACAATGAAAGTACACATGATTATGAATAGGATACGGGTGATACATCTCATATCCGACGTGTTAATGCTATAATAGTGTCCACAAACAATTATTGATATACTGCTACGGTTTGTTGTCATGATAATCAATTAATTTAAATTGATTTTGATCGAAGAATTTTCAGTTTTCATTGAGGGTGTAGATGTGGGTGGACGGTATCGATGGGTGTAGTTCTTTTCTCCATCGTCACATACATGGACAACCCACACTACACCTTTTTCCTGCATGCTGTGCAATTATATATAGAACGGCAGAATTACTGCGACGTATGAGCCGCTTTACTATGACGTTGATTATCCAAAATATCAGCTTAAGAAAAACTAGTTAATCAACGTGAGATTACCAAGACGAAATAGTCAAAAAAATTATCATTTAGAAGTTTAATATTCAAAGTCTTTCTTTACTCTGTTATTTTCTTTGTAGGAGGGATAGGGTTATCAAACAAGTCGTGCAACAAGTGACAACACGATGAGAGACAAGGATAAAAAAATAAAAAGCATGTGCGCGACGCGGCAGGTAGTTTATAATGATCATGAGACGCAAACTTACCTAAAAGTGTCTCAAAAGAAAAAACGTTGTTTCTTGAATGCAGCAGAGCAATGGCGTTTTCGAATCACTGTTTCTCGCTTATAAAGAAACTGACTCTACTTGTATTGGTTCTTGCGATCGTTATTCCTCTGTACTATGGTTCGACAAATCCAAAGTATCTTTTCTTGCGTCTTTTCCTTTCTTTACTCTCAATCAAGTATTCTCTCGTATCTGATCGAGCTCGACCAATGTTCACTGCGGATTATCGCGCTTTTAGAAATATGTTTCGTTTCAAGCCATCACTTGAGTTTGATTTACTGGCTGATCCATTAGAAATGGGCATAAAATTACGATCGTCTTTTCCGCTCAATACCATGATTCCTCGACCTTCTCACTGTCAAGTCAACAAATAAGTGTACGAGGGTGTGAGAATCGCTTACAAAAGCAATTACACACACCCTCAGCCTTACCACCCCCCCCCTCCACCCTTTATACAAAGAAAATTTTTCTCACACAATGAGCAACAACTTGGACATGAAATGGAAACAATGAAAGTGAGCTTTTTCGAGACTTTAATAAGAACTCCTTAAGTTGTTCAATTCATTGAAAACGCTTAGTCGCAAAAGAAGATACAATTTCAGCATCGTTAGAAAAAGCAATTATTTATTGTAAAAAATCATATGCAGTCTCAAAGGAACGATTTTAGTCTATTGATTCACAAGAAAAGTGAGTCACCACACCAATGTGATATCGATAAAATTTTCACAGAATATCTTTTAGTATTGTCTTTGTCATAGGAGTACATAAACATGAAGGACAGTATTGAGAGATATACCATTTGCCAATTTTTACAATACAACGTTCTATCACAAGAATTTAGAGCAAAAGGTTCATCTCAATGTTTTTCTCTATATTTTTTGTTATAGATAGTCGTTCTGCTAATTGTCAGCGTATATCTTCTTTTCTGTAATAAAAAATAATATATGCTACATTCGACAAAGAAAAACGACATTACAAAAAAAAACATAATAAAAGAAACATCTAGCAGTTTTTTTTTCAACTTTGTTTTTTCTTTCTTTTCTTTTCGTCTTGTGCCTGTTGATTACACATAAGATTATTCACTTGTCCATTCACTACTTTCAAATTATTATCATAATTTTGATGAGTCTTATAGTAATTACTTTCACCATAACCGTGCATCTTTGAATAATCATGTTCATTAGTATAATCAGAATATCGAAATTGTGCACGTCCTTGTCTATCAGCTCCATAATCAAATATTGCTCTTGTTGATCCTCTGGAATCAACAACGGGTGATTTGATATCAACAGCTATTTGTCCAACTTTATCTCCAGTAAGAAAATGAGCATTATTATCATTATTCATCTTCTGAATATCACTTTTTTGAAATATTGGCTTATTACTTTCTTGAAAAGTTTTAATTTCTTCATTTTTTTGTTTTATTAAATTTCTCGCCTTTTGTTGATGTTCTGCGATAGTTGGTTTGTTTTTCGCATCGATTGCTGCATTTTTCAGTTTATTTTGTTCCGTAATCTGAGCATCATAATTGTCAATAATCGATTGATGATGAGCTTTTCGTGCTTCTGAATTCGTATAAGTAAAAGCTTTCGTTGATTCCTCATTCAATGTCGCTTGAGGTATTTTCTTCAAACTTTCATATTCTTTCATTACTTTTTGTTGATTTTGTTTGGGCACTTTTTCCTCAATTACTTTTCTATTTGATTTTTCATGTAACATATTATCTTTTCCACCATTAGTTTTATAAATAGCATTTTTTGTACCTTCTTGAGCTGCTGTCATTATTGCACTTGTTGAAGCACTTGTAACAGTACGTTTAATATCATACTTGTCTTGATTTCCAACAGCTATATTAACACTTTGAATTGTTGCATCACTAACTGCTGCAGTTGTTCCACTAACAGCAACACGTGTAACACTTTTAGCAACACCAGATGTAACTTGTTTCGATAAATTCGAGCTAACATGACTGCTTGCTCCACCTAAACCACCAACAGCTGCACTTGTAATCCATGAAGCTACTGATCCATTTTCACTACCATATTGGTCGAAACTTTTTCCATAATCGGACCATTTTTTATCAGTTGTTGAACATTGTTTGACTTCATCTATTGCTTTTGCTGTAACTCCGGTTACAATACCAGTAGTAGCTCGTACAGCTAATTTTTTTGCACCTGCTTTTGCAACTTCTTTTGCACCTTGTTTAACAACATTTGTAGCTATGGTTTCACCAGCAGCACCTACACCACCAGTCGCTACACCTGTGACAGCACCAAAAGCAACATCAGCAACATATGTTGTTCCATCGATTCGTTCTCCTTTGATCGCTTTTTCAGCACCATTCCAAGTTGAACTAACACCAGCACCTAACATAGCACCACCAATAAGAACTGCTCCTAAACCACCAGTACATATAGTTAAAGCTAAGCCTCCAACAGCTAATGCTGTACCACCAGCAATAGCTAGAGTTTTTTGTGTAACATCAGCACCACCACCTATATTGCATTTACAATCACATTGCCATTCATTTTCACAAGATTTATGTCGACCTTTTTTGCATTGACCACATATCCACACCATTGTAGAACAGAAATAAAATAGACTAGAATGTGAGGAGTGAAAGAGCACTATTTGATAATTCTCTCTTGTTTATGAGAAAGATGTTTTATGTGCGGAGTCGTAAAAGAATATCAGAAAGCAGAAGACGTGCTCGACCAAATCAACGAAAATGAAGAGATAATGAATGGAAGAAAAACAAAAATACACTAAATAAAAATATTTGCTGTTCTTTTTTTTTATACTGTATGGTAATCACATGGAGGGAATTAATATATATCTCAAAGACACACTGGGAAAGAAAATGTGCTTTATCAAAGAGATAAGAACAGAAGAAACATGATTAATATAACAAAAATGTGAGAAAGATTGCTTTGTTCTTTACCAATACAATGTATTTTATTATGATTAAGAATAAAATGTAGTAGTGCGATCGTGATCGTCGATATAGATATCAGTGATGGGATCGGTTCGGTTTCAAACCTGTAGTGTGGATTGTTCGCCCAGGTCTGGGTCTAGATTATTCTCTTCCAACTCATACTGGGTGTGTGGGTGTGGGGTGGGATGGGTGGGGGGTGTGAGTGTGGGTGCAGTATTTCACCTTCGCTTCACCCACACCCACCCACATCCCTAATAATTTTCTTTATGGGAATAATATTAAATAAAGTATCAAATAAGTTTATCAGATTTGCATTTCACGAGTTTAGTATTAGACTACTTTGATAGTATTTTGAAAAAAATAGCTCCAGAATGACATAAATCTTGTATTGTTTAACACAAGGGGGAAAAAGCAGATTTTAAGATTTTAAGATTTTGAAAGATTTTAAAAGATTTTGAGAGATTTTGGATGCCAAAATCTACTTTCTCATTTGCGTCTCCTCCATCATCATTATGTCTTGCGATGGTTTTTAAAAATATTTAGTTTTGATTATTTGTGAAAAACGGTATATACACAATTAATTTGAGTTTATTGAAGTTCTTTCCTTTTTACTCGATCCACTCCATATAAAGATAAATCTTCCATATAAACAGCTGAAATATCTACCGGAGTATGTTTGGATTACAGTCTCATATACGTTCCAGTACCGTTATTTTAAAAACCAACAATTGAGTATGATGGGCCATTTCTCAAGGATGTTTCTTCAAGGACGAAAAGTCAAGGATGTTTTTTAACGGAGACAAAAAGTTGAAGACATTTCTTAAAGGACATTCTAGCTTGTGTTTGGTTTTTCCGGCATGCAAATTTTCGATTCAGTNCGAAATATTAAGTTTTCAAGAAAAATCGATTCTTTTGGTATGTATGGAACATGGCACTGTTTTCTTGAGATTGCAATATCTCGAGAATGGCGCTTTCGTTTTGGCTTAAACTTTCAGGCTAATATACAAGCCACAAGACCTATATGTGGGCAAAATTTCAGGTCGAAACTCCTTAATTTGATTTTTCGGTGAATATGGTATCATAGGTGATAAACCCAGTAAAATGACTATAACTCGAGAAGGAAGGCCCATGGGCCCTTGTCCTTTTGGGCTTTTTGTAATCTCATTGGACTCTACTTATCGGCAAAATATTGGCTTAAAAGCTTTGAATCACTTCGAACGGTTCCCTCGTTAGTCATCTAAAAAACTTATCTTGTCTTAATATTTATTATAGTCAAGTTTCATTACTCGATCATCCTTTTTCACGTAATTATATTATTGATAAACGTCGTGAAGCATTTGGTTTTAATACTATCGATGCACATAAGGTTATAGTTAGCAGGGATGAAGAATCTGTAGAAATTAGATTATCATGATTTTATATGTATATAGATTTTTTTTTTGTGTAAATAAAGTTGAAATGAATATGTGTTTTTTAAGTTATTTTTATTTGAAGTAACAAAGATTATTTCTGATTGTTGTATGACTTCGAAGGTTAGATGAATATTCAGGTAAACGTGATACATTGTCTGGGATCAGGCGCGTACCAAGAAATTTTCTGAGGGGGATGGGCTCATGCCTCCCCCTCCCTTCGGTACGTGCCTGTCTGGGATGCTTCCAAAATAAAATGTTCAAAAATAATTGTTACATTTGATCTTTTCCTTGCATTTCGTTCGTTAACTATTGGTAATAGAAAAACTCAATGCATTTTGTCTCAAATAATACCAAAAGAATATCGAACGAAAAATCAAACAATTTGGATTCTTCTTTTCGACATACAACAGATGTTCTATTACGGCAAAATCGTTATGCCATTCAATAAACTTCACAATAATTATCAATTTTATTAACATCTCGCTTTCACAAAATTGATGAAATGATAGTCGAAACCGCTATGAGTAATGACAATATCGAATGACTCATTTTTGAATGTTTGAGGTTACAAAAAGCAGTTATGATGATTCATTGATCGAAATAGGTAAAGAAAATTGGAAGAAGAAATATAGAAGCCATTGATAAAGGATATTCCGAAAAAGCAAAAGATGGAGGAGGTCACCAAGAACTGAAGCTTTGTGATGAGTTTTTTCCCATTTATTTAATTATTTTTCACAAGATTTTCAAAACAACAATTTCTCATACTCTATGAATAAATCATTGATGTCAAACTTGAATATTGTGAATTCAATAATTAAATGTCTGAAATTCAGATATTCAAACGGTATATCAAAATTTGACCGAAAGACGACATATGAGTGTAATCAAGGAAAAGATATTTGTTGTAGTGTTATTAATAAAGACTTTAATTTGGTATTAGGATGAATGAAGAAATCAACTAGTATTACACGAATGCATTTGTATTGGTTTCTTTTTTTGTTACTGCATAGGATAAACCTGTAAGCAGACCTGATACATTGATAAACTTATTATAAGACCGATTATAGAGAGTTTTAATTCGATATTTTTTTCTTGTTGTGCATCAGTCGACCATTGAATGATAGTGCACTGAATCCTTTTTTTTTTTCTTTAAAAAGATCATCTGTTAGAGTGATTTCGACAGATACAACAATTCATTCTGTTATAATTACCTTTAATAAAAAAAAAAAAAAGAAGATACGTTTAAAACTGAATCTCTAGTGTATAATGAATCAATTCTTTCTCATGTGATTTGAATTCAATTAAAGACAACATTCCAATATGTGAAGTAGATAGATAATTAAAAAAAAAAGAAATTTTTTCTTCAAAACATTCTCACTGTCACATTTATTATTATTATTTTTTTCAACGATAATTAAACAAAAATATATAGATGTTAGTAAATACAGAATTACAAATCCTGTAACATGGCCATACGTTTTGAAGCTGTACCCGAACTTGCTTTTTGTATAGTTGAATATTTATTATCTCCAACAGCTAAATTTTCTTCATAGGCTTTATCTAAAAATGTTTGTCGTTCTTCAATTTTTTTTGATTGAATAACATTTTTTAAATCTTGTAATTGTAATGCTAATTGTGCTTGTTTAGATTGTTTCTCAATTAGCAAGGCTCTAAAACAAAATATAATAACTAGTTTAAAAACTTCAATTTTTCTCTCATTTAAACAGACCGTTCATCAGTTTGATTTGATTCTTGATTTTTAAGAATTGGTCGATACTATAATCAAAAGAAAAAAAAAATCGAATCAGCTTTTCTTTTTTGTCGAAAAACAAAAAACTATAATTTTACTGGTGGTGGAGATAATGCTCTTGGTGATGATGATGATTGAACGAGATTTTGTTGAGCTTGTGTTACAGCATTTGTAGCAGCAATTGATTGATTAAGTTGTGTAATTGAAAGTAATTTTTCTCGTGCAGCTGCTTCAGCTACACGCCATTTTGCAACTTCTATTTTTAGTTCTTCTGCTTCTTTACGACTATAAATAGATAAAAACACATAAATTTTTATATTTAATTTACTAGTTTTTATTTATGTTAGTTCCGATTTCATTTTTTTTTAAATTTTTTGTTAACTAACTAACCGTTGTTCAATGGTTGATGAAAGAAGTGAAACTTCGCCACAACGACATGAATGATAAGCAGTATTACTGTGTTTTTTCATTCATTTTTATTTAGATACTTAAAACAAAAAAAAATCAAAATTTACCTTTTTACTGAATCATTGACTAATGTAGAAATAATTTGTTCACATTCACTAATTTGTCGAGCATAAAGTCTTTTTTCTTCTTCGTTCTACAAATAAAAAGTAATTATAATTTTTGTTTTGTAGATGTTTAACAAAGAAAACTATTGAAAAACTTACTCGACTAATTTCATATTTACATCGTTCAAGTTGTGCTTCAATTTCTAATGCTTTTTCAGCTTGTAATCGAGCTTCTTCACTACTCACATGTGCTTTACGTGCTAATAATTCAGCAGCTTCTTGATATTTAAGCTAACGAAAAACAAATACAAAATTATAAATTAAACAAGAAAATAATTTATTTTAATTAACAAACCAATGTATCATGTATATCTTTCATTTGTTGTTGATATTCATTAAATTTACGTTCGATTTCATTACGTTCTTTTTCAGCTTGCAAACGTAATTGACGTTCTCGAGTAACTATACGATGCTTCTCCTAAATAAGTATATACGTATGAATATCAATCTGAAAGCTCGAAATGTTATTAATATACTATTTAATGTGATCATTTTTCGAGAATTTAGTTTATTAAAAGTAGTGCTCTATATTTCGTCAGGCATCTTGTTCCTTTAAAGGTACTTTCGTCCCTTTCCGAATGTTAAAATTAATTTTTTTTTTTAGTTTTTGTATAGTTTCAAAGTGTTCCCTGTCAAATGCCATATAAATAACAGCGCTTTGTTGTTAGTTAGCAGTTTTTTAAATCCAACTCTGAGAATTTCTAGTAGAGCAACTCATCCTACGATTATTTTTCGTATGCAAAAGTTTCCTAATGATATTGATTATTTCTCATTTAAAAGGTGCTGAAATCATATAGTCATGAACCTCTAACACCGTTGAGAACGGTCAGTTTTCGATTATTTTAGTTGGAGAGAAAAAGTCAATTTTTACATTAAAAAAATAGTACAGAATCGTTCCTATTTCTCCAACATAGTGTGTTCGATCGGCTTAAAACTTTTTACAGGTCATATTTGGGACGTCTACTTTTCGTTTGCTTTGAAAACTATTACATCGTTAGTTTTTGACAGATTTTACAATAAAGCTCTAGTAAAAAGAACATTTAGTTTTGAAGGTACGCTCAGTATTTTTATGTTTCTATGTGAATGGAAAGCGATAAAAAGAAACTGAAACAAAAACAGATGCCCCGAAATAGTATCTAATATCTGTTTAAAATATTTCAGCTCTACTTGAGGTATTGTGGACGAGAAAGGGAGGTTTAGTCTTTGCAACCGAGACATTTTCTAGAAGCGAATATTTGAGAATTCGAAGTTTATGACAACTTTTGCTCTATTCATGGAGATCCATGTATTCAGAAAGTTTCAAATATTTTTGATGTAGCGTTCTTAACAAAACCTATTTTTGCTTTAGAACAACCGATGTGGTTGAAAATTTCAGAGTATGTGTGTCCGGATCTTAATAATTCATAGTAAAATTAGGTCTGTGCATGATACGAATTTCCTGTCGAACTCTAATGATACAGAATGGTTTAAAAGTGCAGCCACGATCTGCCACTACAACTTAACAAAGCCCAATATTTCAAAATATTGTTTTTATTTCCTTCTTATAGAATTTTCTCTCGAAAAATCATGGTCTCTCTACAGAAAAACATTTTTTTATTTTTTCAAAAAAATAAGTCGAAAATGAGCATTTATGCTCTATTGAGTTGTAGAGTGCAATTTTCTCTTCAGTTAAAAACATTTTTGAGCTTTCTAGTATGTAAAACAGCCGAGAAATTTTCGACACAAGAACAAAAAAGAAAAAACACGAAATAAAGTTCGACATACAAACACAAGATTCATTCTTAATAAAAGGATTAAAAAAGAAACCTTGAAATATTATAATGAGTTCGGTAGATTATTTTCTTTTTAAAAACATACATTATCGAGCTTTTTTACTAAAATCACGATTTCTGACAGGGAATGTTCTATTGTGGAAAGAAGCGATTTTCTGTAAACATCAATTCTTCGGTTGAATGTAAGACTTCTATCACTTAGTTTTATGGAATGGGTAAACCTTTAGAATGTTATTTACTTTATTGAGATCTTATTTCACGAGGATTGAAAAATAAATACAATCGGAAAATAATAAGATCAAAATGAAATGTAAAGAATTTTAAAACGAAATAAGCTCTTATCTGAATACACAAAAAAATCTATACAAGAATGATGAAAAGTAATTAGGAATGTAACACTTACTTCCAATCAAGAAAACCTCTTTGTTTTTTCTTAGTGAACCCGAAAATTTTTCGTTCTTTCTTTCAAATAAAACACCTTTACACGTCCTCCTCCCAATATTGGTTGCCTCAGGCAAGCCCTGAAGGTAATATCTCAAAGGATTCTTACTGTTCGTGACGAATAAAAAGCAATAACCTCTGATTTTTATTGTTGTTTGTCTATCTTTTGTTCATAATACAATCTCTCATATAATAACACTCACTAAATATTATTCGAAGTTTTTTCGTTACTATCATAGGATAAGCTGAAAGAAGAAAAATCTCCTATTTTTTTTCTATATAATAGTAGTCAGAACATTAATAACAGCTCTTAGAAATCATGAAAGCAGTTAATCATCATAACAATTAGCTAACAAACGAACAAATGTTTCTATTTCATAAGTCCTTCAATATAAGGGATAAAGATTCAATCCTTTCTTTTTTGTTTTCTAAATGAATCGATGGATTTATTTAGAATTTTATAGTATTTTGTTTTACAACCAATTCAATCGAGGAGGATAATATGGACTTTGCAAAACTATGTAACAGAGTAGAGCAAAAAAAAATGTTCTCAAAAGAAATGAATAGGTTCTGCACTTTAGCAGTTCAAATAAATAAAAACAACTCGAAATATTTTCTTTTTTTTTTATTATTAAAAATTGAAACTAACATGAAAGTAAACTTCGATTAATTATAAGAACATCAAAAGTATAATATTATCCCTATAGGCAAATTTAGCCAAGAAACTGCATTAGGAATCTATTTTTATTTTAAAGAGACTTTGTCCATGATAAAAAAAAAATGTCATAATAAACAAAACTCAAATCCTTGATGAAATTTTTTTTTTTCTTACTTTCTGTTGTTGTTCTTCAAAATATCTCATTTGTTGTATTTCAATTGATTGTTCTCGTCGACGTCTCATATATAATTCGTGATTACCTGTTGCCAAATCGAGTATCTAAATTAATACAATATTCAAAATTGAAAAGACAAAATAAAATGTAAATATATTTTTGTTTTCAATTACCTCTTTGCTTACAGATGATTTAGCAGAATAAAATGCAAATGTTGCATTTTTATCACCGGTCATATTTAATATAACCTATAAAGATAATTAAAAAGAAAACAAAAAAAAAAAGAACAGAAATTATTATTATTTGAATACTTTTTTATCATGAGCTGTAACTGATTTAATATCAGACCATGAAAAGAATACTTCTGGTCTTAATTTATTTTTTTTATAAAAACGAATTCCTAATGAATCAATTCCAAGCCAAAGTTCAGCAGCAATAGATGATTGATCAGACTGTTGTTGTTGTTGTTGTTGTTGTTGTTGTGATGATGATAGATTCGATTTATTTCCACCTTGCATTTTTGATATTTCAAAAAATGATAAACCAAACATATCTAAATCTTGTGCATGTTTTAAATAAGCCATTTCAGATTCTTCTCGTGTTAATGATGCATGTGTACGCCATAAAGCTATTATACGATTAAACCAATCCGAACGAGATATATCAACTTTTTGAAAACAAGATAATGGTAATAAAGCTTCACTTTCTAAATTTAATGATTCTGATGATGAACTTATTTGATCATAATCACCAAACTAAAGAAAAGAACAAACATTTTGTTTTATTGTTGGATAATTTTTATTGAATAGAGTTTTGAATTACTTTTGCATGAAGTGCAAGTGATGCAAGATGAGCAGCTGTATCAGGTGGACAATAAATATCCATATTAAGAATATCTTGTTTAACTTGAAGATAAAAAAGATGTCGAGTTATATCTTGTATAAGTTCATTAGTAATTTCTTCGGGATAAAATTTCACAACAAAATATAATTCTAATATATTTATATATTGTTGTCCACCACTAGTTGATGATGATGGAAGACTTAATGTTGATGTTGATGGTGATGTTGGTGGAGAACGAAGAAGATGAAGTTTAAAATTTTCTGTTGAATTTGGTGACTCAGGTCTTTTAGATGAGATTGTATTCGATTGAATTTGTATTGGTTGAGAAAGTATCTAAAGATAAATAATTTTTTATAATATAGAACAAAAAATACAAATGAACATAATGTACTGTTCTATTCATTTGTAACCATATCCATTCATTAGAAATTTTATCAAGAAATTTTAAACCAAAATACCAATGCTCTCTTAGACCAATTGTTTGACAAACAAGAGAAAATAATGTATGTCCTTTTGCTGTTGCCTAAAACAAAAATATATTTTTATTATCACACTTGGCATCAATTGATATTAGTGCTCACCTCAATAGTAAACTGTAATTCAGCATCCATAGTGAATATTTTACAACAATATTCATCAGTTTTCTTTTTACTACTACTAAACACGGGCATTTTTAAATAGAAAGTAATGCTATCTCTATCTTATATCTAAAAGAAGAATAACAAAACCAATTCACAGCGATATTTATTGCGTTGTTGCTTGTTAATATTTGTGTTTTTTTTCTATCCTTTAAGCTGATATTACCTGAATAATAATTAATGATTTGATTTAGTTATATATTTAGAAGACCCTTCAGCTAGTTTCTTATATATTTATAAATGTGTATATATATATGTATACATGTATATCCCACTCTTATTTTTTTTTTCTCATTGCCGAAAAACAGCAATGACAAGGGCGCGTGTTTGACATTATCGACAGGGAATACATGTAAGAGGAACAGAACCAATCGTTCTTTTTTCTTCTTATTTTTTTTCCTGCTACGCAAGAAACCACATGCCATGCATACCTTTGTTCTCCCTATTTCTTTTGCTTTCTCTTTATTTTCTTATGCCTTTCATAGTTAACTATAGACTTGTCGTAAATTGATATTGATGCGCTTGTCATGTATATAAGTCCAACAAACTTTATCATCATCATCAATATTCTTATATAAAATATCGTTTACGAATGGATCAGAAAGTATGCGAGGAATTGCATGAAAACAGAGACGACTTGTTCCTGTCATAATAAGAATATCACCAGAACGAAGAATTATAGGTGATGGTTGACAATCACTTTTTGTTTGACCACCAATAAGAAATATAGCTGAATTACCAAATGAAAATGATACAAGAGGTTTTGTTAATGCATCATTTTCTGAATGATCTGTATGTGCACATAAAGTTGAATTTAAATGATAATAATTAATAATAACAGCTTCAGCATGCATCATTGGACAATCTAAATAAATGATTCATGTTGACTATTATATAAATGAAATGTATATTTTTTCATTATACCTGTATTCGAAGAAATAACTTGTACAATAGTTTGACATAATTTTGAAAGTTCATCTGGTATTTTTGTATGATCATCTTGTTGATAAATTTTATTTGTCCAATCATAATGATAACCAAGTGTAGCCCAACGTATACGAGATAAATTTTGATTATCACTATTATCACCAATACTTGTTCTAGTTTGTCGAGAATAATTATTTAAACATCGATTAATCCATTGACGTTGTCCATCTATTGTAAATGGATTTGAAAGAAAATAGAGACCATCAGAAAATTTACATGAATAAATAGACCATGTTGATATGGGTTGTAAACCTAATGATGAATCTATATCAATTGAAATGTTTAATGGATACTGTTGAAAAAGTGTTGGATGAGTTATTATTGAATATGCTTGAGCAAAACAATCTTTATCAGGAAGACGACGAAAATGTTTAAATACAGGTGTAAAAAGATCAAGATTTTCGGATGATGTGCTCATAATGATTTTATTGTAAATTTCTTCTTCTTTCTCTTATTCGTTTCTATACTGTTACTGTAAGCAGGATGAATCATAAAATGTGCGATTAGTTCAGTAGAATGAACGAATTGGAGTTTGATCGACTATGGATAAATTTTATATTAGAGAAAAAAAAATGTAAATCAACGGAGAAAATTACTATGAAAGACATATTTCGAAAGATTGAATAATTTTAAACAAGACAAGCCTGCCCTCTATTGATATTATGAGTATGACCAAACGTTATGGATTTGGCTTTCCTTTTTTCTACATTGTAACATCTGTTTCTTGTCAATGTTATTAATAAAAATTTTATTGATTTTTCTTTATCTCAAGCTAAGTTATTCAAGAATGAAATTTCTTTTATGGTGAACCAGGGAGTTTAGGATTTTATTACGAAATGAAACAACATACAAATAAACTTCATAGTTTATGAGTAGAAAACTTTTAATGATCTGAAAACATCGCAAAATTCAACTACTAATTAAATTTCATAACACAGTATTTCGAGAAAACGGATGAGAATGTTAAATCAAACTGTGTTCGGTAGAGCTTGCAAAAATTCAATTTGCATCCATTGTTTTTGTTACAACATAAGCGAGCAAAATACACTATAAACAAGTTTCATTATAGAATTTCATCGAAAATAAAGATGGTTTTTGAACACATTATCTTGATTGGTAAGCATCTAACGTTTGTGGAAAGATCATATGTTAAAAGAATATTTCATAACTGATGAAGAATCTTTTCTACTGAATGATTTTTCTTTGACGATGTATATTCTATTACCGTCTTTTGCATAAATTTTCAAGTTGTCCACTATAAAAATGATTTTACATGTCTTGAACATTGAATACTTTTCAGGAATAGAAATGCTTCCATTTCAAATACTATCGATCGTTCTCCTTCTAATGGTTAATTCACTTTTAGGCTCCAATTCTTATCACATATGAATTATCGATATGAGGCAATTTGACTATTCCGCGACGTATCAAATTTTTGATATTAGTTCTAATCTAAGTTTTTATTTAATAGAAAAAGTCATTGATTAAAGTCTCATTCAATTAAGTTCAGTCATTTTTGAATAATTAATAAAATTGAACAGAACTAAGCTAAAAGAAAGAATTTCATGGGTTGGCTATGATAAATCTACACATAATAAAATAAATGAGCTAAAAAATGCTTGAACAACTGTCATAATACTTGGCGCTGTCTGAATCTGAACACTAAACTTGAATAGTTCCAGAATGTTGAAACAGAATTCCGATTCAGTGCATGTCTAATCGAATTCAAACAGAACAAGAATTATTCATACACATAATGCTAGAATTCATCAAAGATTCTTATGCATGTTTTTTAAGACTTATATCGGAGTCAGTATATGATAAAAAAAAAAGCACAATCTTATTTGAAGATAATCGAAATATTATTGAAATTTTTGTCTTATTGAAAAAGATTTTAATAAAAATCTACTTCAATCGATTATAGTAAAAAAATAATAAGTAAAAATGAAATTAACTTAAAACGATTATCCATAGAAAAATCTATTGAATTTGGTAAACAGTTAATTAAATTTCTTTTTAATTTATCATATAAACTTTATTGAGAAGATCGTGCATTTTATACATATCAATTAAAAAATTCAATAGTTCTTAAATTAGCAATAAAATATGCAACTGAATCACAACAATCAGCATTACAACTACTTATTGTTCTTCTTATTCAATATCATCAACTATTGCGACCTTATCCTCAATATTTAAAATAAAATAAATTCCATTCAAATAAATAACAGATGAATTAAGTTCAAATTTATTTTCTATTTTAGTTTAAAATTATTATTGTTTATTTCTTTAGAGTAATGTTAATATTGAAATGACAAAGAAAATAAAAATCAATAAAAAGGAAAAATATTAATGAAAAAAATCGACAAAAATTGTTGCTATACTCTTTGAAATTATGAAATTCGTATATTTTACATATTTATATAACAAAAAAAAAAAAATTATTAATAATCATTGACGAAGTCCTATAAAAGAATTAAATATTGATTTCTGTTTGAAAATTTTATATAGAAAAATATATAAACGTATTAGAAGCAATAAATACCGAAAATCATCTTCTTATTGATCTTTGTTGAGTTGAATTTTGCTTACTTGTTGTTACATATCGATTTGACATCATCATATTAGATGAAATCGGCCGAATAGGCTTATTCCTTATGCGTCCTACATTTTCTAACTATGGATTGTACTAACAGATTGGAGAAAATATATATAGCAGCATTCTAGTTTTCATTCACATAGATACTCCTAGATCAAGAGTCATTTTTTCGTTACCTACCATTTATATAATCGATCTACATATTAAAGAACGAATTAGATTGTTACAATCTAAAACTCAAAAAAAAAAAAAAATCATGGAAATAGTTTGACAGATCATGTCTCATTATGAGCCATATTAATATGAGTTTAAAAAAAAAATGTAAATAAGGATAAAGTTTTAGTTGTATGAATAGATAATTACTCTCATGCTATATGTATTCTAAAAACAAATGAATGACTGTGGTCGATAGATCTATAGATTCTGTGCTGTCATTAAAAGCTAATATTCAAATGTATAAACGATATAGACTATTTTTTCTCTTTCTTTCACATGCGTCTTTAACTTTTGAACAAAACAATGGAGTTGTGAACATTGATTACGTCTTCATCATATCTCGCAGTCCGATGTACGTCTTGCTTTCTGACTTAAAAATGCTCCATCCAAGGTGCCACTCGAGCTCCGCTAATTTTGATCTCACAGTAATACTCTTTTCTTTTCAAACAAAACGAAAAGATGATATTGTTCTTTGTGGAACATGTCGATCATATACGAAATATTGCTCTATTTGAACTGAAACAATTCCAGCATGATGATGTATTATTTTTCAAAAGAAAGAGATTTGTAAAATTTTAGTCAAACTCAATAATAACTAAAAATTTCATAAATATTTCTCGAATAAAATTAACTAATGAAGGAACTTCTTCATTTGATCCCTTCCGATTTCAATGATTTTTTTTGTCTATCTTTACTGCATAGGGTTCTGATAAAAAATCTAAAAGGATTTTGGTTCCTATTTAGGCTAACTTTCATATAAAAATTCAGAAGATTTAAATAAAGTCTCTTCAAAATATAGACCCTTTCTGTGGATACAATTGTTTTTTTTGAAAGCTTCATATCTCAAGAAGACTTTGTTCAAATCTTCTGAATTTTTTTACGGAAGCTATTCTAGTTGAGTTCTTTATATACACAAATTTACAGATAAAAACTAAATACCTTAGTCAAACTTTTTCAAGGAATTTAGTGGCACACTTTGTAGTATCAATAGGTACAAAACAAAAATCATTGAGATTGAAAAGAGACAGTTGAAGATGTTTCCTTGTGAGTTCTTGAAGTTGACTCATATATTCATTTACTCCGAAAATCATTGATAGAAGCATCTTGAAAAATTATAAATTTGTTTGCGAAACACTACTCATTTTGCATAAATTTTATGTATGTCAAAACCACTCAATAAATATCCAGAATATATAATCTTCAACATCGGGGCACCAGAACACTTGAAAATCGAAATCAAACTCGAACTCTTATGTTTATCATACGCAGAGGTCGACGAAAAAAAAAAACTACCTCATCTGATTCTCTTAAAAAAATTTCACTATAACAAAATCTTGATAATAAAGAATTGAAATCAATATTTAATATACTAACGAATAATGAATTTCAAGACTATATGCCAATTATATCAAAATAATCCATTCGGCATAAGTTTGAAATCGTATGCTTTTTCTTTTTTGTATATTTTAACACAACATCACTCTTGATCTTTCTCACACATTCTCATGCTATCTATTTCCTCCTTATAAAAATAAAAAATAAAATAATAATACTGTCGGCAATTGTTCAACATTTTTAGAAGAAGAAGCATTATATTGATAGACGTAACTTCTATAAAAAAAAAGAAAAAAAATAAGACAGCGGAACCGGAACAGACTTTAATTCAAAGAGATTGTATGCGAGTGCTTAAACGAGTGTGTCGTCCGTTATATTTCAATTGGAATATATATATATTTGACACTGAAAGAAAGTGATGATACTCTTTCTCTTTGTCTCTCTCTCACCTAATCGTGAATAACAGAAAAAAATCACATACGAATGTCAATTTTTTGTTTGATTTATACGCATACAAGATCATCAACATATGTCGATAGAAGTACACAAGTAACACAGTGATTGAGATGCAAATATAATATGGATGCGCTTGCCTCAACAGTCCATACCATAGGGACATTGTGCATGAAAAAGTAACATTTTCATTATAGACTCATCGTAAAGACAACATTCACAAGAGAAAAAAGAAAAAGTAGATGCAGTTGATCCAACCATCTGGTCTCCCTTTTGATTAACTCTACTCATACTAAATCCTATTTTCTGTCGTCAGATCAGAGAAAGCCGCAATCATTGAATTCTTCCTTTCTTTTTTGTTTTCTAATGATCTGTTGACTTTCTTTTTCGTGTCACTTATCTATCAACATAATTGACGTGAATCTTATAAATTGATAGATTATTTATTTTTATATTTTTATTTTGTTGACAGTATCACACAAAATATAGAGAGAAAAAAGGAAAAGAAACACTGTGTAAAGTGTGTAACAAGTGAAAAAAAAAACTCGAAAAAAAGAAAAAAAGAATTGTTTACAAATGTGTTGGATAATGATATTCATAATATTCTTCTCCAGTACCAGTAGGTGTTGGTGATGTACTTGAACTTTTTGTATTATTATGATGATGATGATGATGATTTGATGCTGATGCTGTACCATTTAGTAATGGTGGTGTAACACGTTTTTCTTTTTGTCGTCGATTACAAAACCATACACGAACAACTTCTTTTTCAAGTTGTAATTGATCAGCTAATTGTGTTATATCTTGTGCTGTTG